GCACTGGCTGTGTTTGAGCAAAATGGTGTTCTTAAGTTTGCAGGAGGTCGAAGCTGATGGAGTCCTCCCGTATTGTAGTTCAGCATTGTTCTGAACGTAAATCAGTCAACTTGATCTAGAGTTGATCCATGAAGTCTTGTGCCCACACAGGATCTAGAGATGAGACTCCTCTCGGCAGGCAGATCAGGATGTACTGTACCCTGTTCCAGGACAAAGCCAGACACGGGTGACCTGAGCTCAGGTCTCCGATCGCTGGACTCCAGGTACAATACATCTGCCCTGTGCTCAGAGAAAAGTCAAATATTATTCAGTTTACTCCAGCAATAGACCCGGGGAGTCATGGCTGAAGGGTCTCTCTGGAGATAAGAACCTATGCACCTGTATATTCCGTGATTGGAACTGCTGGCACTTTAGTTCCTTACTTGCGCTAAACTATTGTCTGGAGACTGAGACAATCCTTTGCTGTGGACCCAAAGCTGCAGCGGGGCCTCCAGAACTTTAACTGCCAACTTTGACCAAGCAGCCTCCGCCCAGTGCCACTCTGCCCACCTCATCCTTTGCCCCTGCTACCCAACACTGGCCAGGTCCCCCTGGACCTTCACCTGTCCCCAGTGATCTTCCTCCAGGACTCTACAAACCCCTTATTCCAGGAATCCCCATCTGGATTTCCCTCTGCCAAGCCAACTATCTGCCCTGGACTGTTGGACACCTACAGTGCGAGTTGTTTAATCCATGTGCTCCATCCCTTGCTGTGCAGATTGCTACCCTGTGAACTGTTGCCCAGTGTCCTTGACTGCTGGCCCCTTGTCATGCCAGGAGAGCATGTTATCCTGAACTTAAAGGAGAACTATGGGATTAGTTATTTCCACTCACCTCATAGTTCTAGCCGACCTGTGACAATGAGACTGTCACAGGTCAGCTCAGTAAATCGGGAGGTGAGGGAACACATACCGGCGTTCGCTCACCTCTCAATCCTGTCACGGCTCGATTCCCCCCTCCGATCCGCCAGCGCTGACTGGCAGAACGGACAGGGGAGGGTGCAGCTGGCTCTGCCTTTAGATAGGCAGAGCCAGCTGTCAGTCACGCAGCTGGGTGGATACCGGCACAATTGTCAGGATCCGCTTCAGCGTCTCAGTATACTGCGAGCCTAGGGTGGCGGGAGGACAATAGTTTGTGTCCTCCTGTTACCCTAAGGAGAACTATGGGGAAAAGCCCTGACCCCATAGTTCTCCTTTAACGCTACCCCGTATTGTTCTCGGAATCTCCATCTCAGTACCACACCTGTAGCTTGGGCCCACTTCAATGTACTGATCTGCCATGCATGAGTGAGGGGATTCCAAAAGGGGTACTCAAACAATGCAGGGGAAGCAGGGTCGAGCTGTTATGTACTCATCACAAGTAGTAATCCACTTCTGACTCACCTGAGGTAAGGATTGCTGCAGCTGCTGAGGCATCAAAGATGGAACAGTGCAGCCCCTAATAGAGGGGTTGTACAGGCACAATGGTGACAGCCCACCTACAGCAGGGAACCAAATTTAAATAAATACCTGAGCTCATCCCAAGATGTGACGCATTGAATGCCTACTAACGTGGCCAGCAACATATGGCTGAAACACTCCATTTAAAGCATCAGAGCCAGCAACAAAGATGTAACAACCTAACCAGGCTCCTCCCAGCTACCTATGGCTGCAAGCAGCACAACCTATGCTCTAGCAGCATAGTTACATAGTATTTGAGGTTGAATAAAGACATTAGTCCATCAAGTCCAACCTATTAGGATCTCATTCTAGGAGTACCTGTACCCCTGTATGTTACCTGTACCCCTGTATGTTACCTGTACCCCTGTATATTACGGTCCCTTAAGAAATCGTCCAAAAGTTTCTTGAACAATTCCACATTCTTTGCTGAAATCACCGCCTGTGGCAGCGAGTTCCAGACCCTAACTGATCTAACTGGGAAGAACCCCCTTCGCCCCTTGTGCTGGAATTTTTTTTCCACCAATTTTAGGTGGTGGCCTCTAGTTTTTGTAACGGAGTTAATTTTAAACAGTTTATCGCTAATGTTGCTGCCACCATTGAACATTTTGTACATGGAGATCATATCCCCCCTTAATCTCACCTCCAATGTGAACATGTTTAAATTTAGTAGCAGGGACCGATTAGCCCCAACCCATAGGAGATTGCAGCACAAGACCATTTAAAAGGCAAGGCCCTAATGTCTCGCAGTGTTAACTGCCCTCAGATGAAAGTGAGAACCTCATCCCGATTCTGGCTTTGCCTACCATGGTGGACACACCCCAATGGGGCAAGGGTCTTCAGGGACAGGACTCCACCAAAAGATGGACTGTGGCTCCATATACCTCAGATTTTTTAACATAAACCAATACTGTATTCCATGGTTGTTTCCCTGCTCTCTTTGCTGCTCTTCCTTTTAAATCTGTTCTCATGCTTGGGGAGAACTTCTATTTTGCAGCAGACTGCCTTGTCTCAGGAATGGATACAGGGTGTCTGTGTATAGGTTTGCAACCTGAGCCAGCACTACAGGAAGAGGCCCTGAGCTGCAAAGGGAAGTTCTCCCCCAGCATGAGAAGACATGAGGATTTCAAAAGGAAGAGCAGCAAAGAGAAGGGAAACAACCATGGATTACAGTAAGGCGCACATTACAGTATTGGTTTATGTTAAAATATCTGAGGGTTTAATGTCACTTTAATATTGTACAACAGTGCCAAAATGAGTTTCACAAAGAATCCAGCAGTGTCAAGGTGAGCACCACAAGGATCTAGTGCCTGAAGGGACGTTATATGCTGGCCCTGCATGCCCAGCTGGCATGGTCCAGTACCAGGATGCTTGCTAAGGGACACTGATCTGGACGCTGTAAGTCAGCCATTTTGGCTATAGAGAAGCCAGAAGCTTGATAGACAAATCAGCAGAAAACATTGTTATAGTTAAAATCACATTCCTATCCCAGGAAAGAGAAGGTCCATAACCTACGGACACTAGCAGAAGCCAAATGCTTACTGGAGCAGAAGGGGTTATATGAAGATGTCCTAACTTTGTTTTGTTGTCAGTGTCCAATCACCTGAAGGTAGCTTCATATAACCCATGTTCTAAGACTGGAAGCCCTATATACTCTATGATGCAGAGTTGAGATTGACATCTCCCTGGGACACTGGCAAAAAACCCCGAGGCATACTGGTAAATAACTTGTGCCGATATCAACCATGCTACAAGCACTGAACTTAGAGAACTAGGAGGTGAGCGAAAAATCACTCATCCCGAGTTCGAGCCGACGTGTGACAATGAAACTGTCACACGTCAGCTCAATAGATCGGGGACACATACCACCGCTCACTTCTCGATCATGTCCGTGCAGAGAGGTGACTGGTCACTCACGGCTCCCTGCAGAATTTCCCCCTGCCGCAGCGCTGACTGGCAGAATAGGGGGTGGGTACAGCTAGCGCTTGGTGGATCCAGACAGTATTGTCAGGATCCATCGCAGCTGTGGCATCTCAGCATGTCGCAAGCTGTAGCTCGCTTTATACTGAGCTTTGGGGGGGACGGGAGGACGCTAGTTTGTGTCCTCCCGTTACCCTTAGAAATATGGGGAAACCCACTGACCTGCGAGCAGAAAAAAATTGCCGTCTGGAGACGGCAACCCGCAGATGCTGCAGTGCCGTCCGTCCGTTTTTTTACTACGGGCGGACGGCAAGAGGTTAATACTAAATCAATACATTTCTATTGGTACATGCATCGATGAGGCATACTGGTAGTAGGAGGGTTATCCCGGAATGCTTAACAGTTTGCTAGTGTCCAATCCTCCTATAGGCAGCAGTATAAGCCAAATGTTAATGGTTCCCTGTGCCCCTCAGCAGAGCAGAATGAAAACTTCCACAGCAATCATAACCAGCACTCTGGGCTGACTGGGGAAACTTTCAGCATTTCCTATGTCCAGCCTGAATCTACCAGCAGCTGTTGATGGTAATCTTCAGATAAGATCATTTGTCCCAACCATTCCATCTGAAACCTTCCTCCCACACATGATGCAATGCTCTTGCCAGACCCCCAAAAACAGGAGGGAGACAACAAATCATCCCAGCTTTGGCAGAGTGGTGGGGGAAGCACAGGGGGGGTTATGGGGAACTTGCGATTTCTGATGCTTAAAGTAAATGGTCTTTCCTTCTGCTTATCAGTCATCCAGCACCTTTTTATGCATGGAGCTGTACAAAGGGGAGGCTGGAGGAACTGAATAGCACTGACAGGATCCCCATATTTGATTGGCTGCAGGGGGGGGCAGACAACAGAGTGCAGACAACAGAGTGCAGGGGGCAGACAACAGAGTGCAGGGGGCAGACAACAGAGTGCAGGGGGCAGACAACAGAGTGCAGGGGGCAGACAACAGAGTGCAGGGGGCAGACAACAGAGTGCAGGGGGCAGACAACAGAGTGCAGGGGGCAGACAACAGAGTGCAGGGGGCAGACAACAGAGTGCAGGGGGCAGACAACAGAGTGCAGGGGGCAGACAACAGAGTGCAGGGGGCAGACAACAGAGTGCAGGGGGCAGACAACAGAGTGCAGGGGGCAGACAACAGAGTGCAGGGGGCAGACAACAGAGTGCAGGGGGCAGACAACAGAGTGCAGGGGGCAGACAACAGAGTGCAGGTCCATGTAATATAGAAAACAGTATAGGGTGCAGCAGTCAGGCAGACGTGTTTCTTTTGTATTTGTAATGCTGACATAGCAATGACCAGGAGAAGGGACAGATGTGGCCGCAGCACAAGCAGTTTCTCTGCACTCGCTCACAGACAAGGTTTGTCATTTCCCTCTACTGGCACATTAGCAGGTAACAGAGCACAACTGTTCCTATGGCCAGGACCTTCTAAAGCGCTGCATGGAATTGTAAAAGCGTCATTATATCCATTCCTTCAGTTGAGACACTACCCATGTTCAGGAGATCACCATACAGGTCAGTAATATTCAGGTAAAAATCAGACAGGTTACAAGGTTATGGAAATGTACACGCAAGGTCATCTGTTTAATGGCAAGTACTTTACAAAGACGGGTAAAATTCACAGCGCACTGCGGAGGTAATACAAAGTACATAAATTCGGAAGAATCCATAGGATACAGGTAATATGTATAAAATTAGACTTAAACTTAAAAAACAAAAAAATAACCGTAGAAACATCATGCGTCAGAGCTAGTAGGGTCGTTCACGTCTGTCCTGTCTGTGGTCACCCCTGAAACAGAAAAGAGAAAGTTGTAATGAGCCAACCTGAAGATACAGAAAAGGTTCCGGACAATCGCCGGCTGCTACGCTGTACGTCAATGACAACAAAGCTTCATTCCGACACGGCAAAGGAGGCCACAACCTCACCACCTATCATTTCTGGTCAGACTGCTGCCAGTGTTTAGTCCTCACAATTATACTATGACGCCAAGTGTCGCGTTCCAGCTGTTCCGGAAACGCATCCGAGACACCGGCTTTTACAGGTTTGATAAAATGCACCGAAAACTTTTACACCGCTACAAAATGGAGGAAGTTCTGTAAATTGCAGCTGGATCAAAACTGGCAGCTTACCTGGAATCCATTTTGCCTGGTCCAAATCCACGGTCACCACCTCCTCTGCCGCCACGGAAACCACCTCTATCACCTCCCCTTCCTCTGAAACCACCACGATCGAAGCCGCCACGTCCTCCACCTCCTCCTCTTCTCTCATCACCAAATCCTCCACCACCACCTCCACCTGTGGGAAACAGAACATTAAGCAATCGGCTACATTATACATTGTATAGACCTCTCGCAAACCATGATCTACTTGGCCGGGGCAACCAGACAAAAAGCCAGACAAGCCCAATCTTCAGGCCTGGCAGTCACATGACTGACTTGCCTCCAATCAGTTCTATTGTGTGACAGAACTCCATGGCGTCATGCAGGCTACATACATTTACATCCCATTCCTAAAATTCCAGTCAAATGTGGATCTCAATACCACGGCATTATAATTGAGCGCCCAGTGACTAGTTCTGCAAACCATGACCTGTTGGTGGCTCCCTATTGCATAACCACGGTGTAACCGCACTAATGTTACCATGATTAGCAGTTAATGGTTAGAGGAAGACTTACCCAGTGGTGAACCTCCAGGTCCTCCGGGACCATCAGGTTTGGGAGCCTTGCACTGGTTGCATTCATTTCTCCAGGAGAAGTTCATGTTCTCACAGGACCTGCAGGGAGGAAGCGGAAGGATCTATGAGGTTATGATCTACACAAGGACACAATGCGTCACGTCATCTACAAGGTAAACCTGACTTACGGGTTGGGACATTTCCAGTCTCCAGCTCTCTGCTGTCCTCCGCCGCCGCTGGGGAATCCTCCTCCTCCACCACCACCACCTCCACGGCTGCTGCTGCTGCTTCCACCAGGTGGTCCACCAAACCCACCACGTGCCACGGGACCTAACAAACAGACTAGTGAGCAACCAGAACAGGACAGCGTGGCATGCCACATAACTCCATATTCATTGGAAATGGTTTAATATAAAACATCCCACACACGAACCATTGCTGACAAGACTTTGCAGGCTAAAGTACACCAGATAGTTTAAATCCAAAAATGGAACCTTTAGGGCTAGCTCACACCAGAACTGCATGCGTCACGTTTTGCTGCTTTTTAAAAAACTTAATAGGCTTTCAGGTGCCGTCCAGTGCGTTTTTGATGCCTTTAGTTGCAGTTAAAATGGGGCAAGCAGTATTTTTTCAGACTGCATTGGAACGGACTGCACTGGTGTGCACAGAGCACCAGGAAACCCATGGTGACTCCTATTTTGATGCAGCTGCCGAACAGACTGCATCTGGTGTGAACTAACCCTAAAGTCACTGCACCAGAAACTGGGAGGCTCTGGATTGCTAGAAATTACGAGACTAACATGTTTGTGATGGAGGAAAGTCTCAAAATGAGACCACACTAAAAAGGCTTCATACATCCTGTGTAGATTGTTGATTTACTGTAGCCAGAGACCAGGTGCAGCAATCCCATAGTAATCACAAGTCCTGTCAAAGCTTAGACAAGGGGACGGCATCACACATTCGGGCTCCCCATACCTAGAAGCCTTGCTCCATTAAGAGCTCCAGCAATGCCAAGAGGCAGCGTGGCTGGGTACGTATACATGCCTAGGGAGCAATTTATAGAAGTGCCCCATATGATACATTTAAATTGGATGCAGACTACAAATTGCATACAAACTGACCTCCACGCCCTCTGCCGCCTCTGCTGTTTGCACCACCTCGGCTGGTAAAGTCGGCTCTCCGTGTGGCAAATGAGACCTTGATCATATTTCCAGAGAATTCCTTCCCTGAAATAGAATGCAGGCATTAGGAGCCATACACTGACCAGGGGAAAAGAAAAATCTAGACCACAAAATTCCCAGACTTACCATCAAACCAGTCAATGGCCGCCTTAGCGGACGGAGGGTCATCGAAGGACACAGTTGCCTCTCCCTTCAGCTTGCCAGTCTCCCGATCTGTGTACAGGTTTATCATGGGCTGCCCGGTCTTTTTGTTTGTCTGTAGAAAGAAAATTGTGTAACGTCACAGCCCGCAAGGTCAAGCCGAGCCATTCTAGAACCCCAATGAGACCCCTGAAAATATTCAACACTGTTTAGGGTTCACTACATATACACACCTTAATGATTCCAATCTGCTTGAAGTATTCTGCAACAGACTCCACGGTCACAGCCTCACCCATGCCTTGCACAAAGATTGTGTTGTTGTCAGAGTTATCCTGTTCAACCGCTAAAGAGATTGGATATATTAGTGATCTGGTCATAGGTTACCCTTCTCATCAACAGAACTGATTGATGGATAAAAGGCACGCAGGATTGTATAATAGACAAGGCAGCCATCAATGACTACCTTCGCTATTCTATACTCATCACTCATCAATGGCTGTCCTCTGCATTCCATAGCCATGTATATTAGTCATCAATGGCTGCCATCCCTGTTACACAGTCCTCAATGTTTGCTCTCCGTGTTACATAATTAATGTCTGCTCTACGTGTTACATAATTAATGTCTGTCCTCCGTGTTACATAATTAATGTCTGTCCTCCGTGTTACATAGTCATCAAAGGCTGTCCTCCGTGTTACAGTCATCAAAGGCTGCCCTCCGTGTTACATAGCCACATATATTACATACTCATCAGTGGCTGTAATCTGCGTTAAATCCTCATCAATGGCTAAGGCTGCCATCCGTGTTACATAGTCATCAATGGCTACAATATTTTATATACTCAACTGCTGCAATTTTAATTACATTTCTCATGAACACCTACCCATGTCGTGTCTGGGAGGTCCACCTTCACGTGGTCCTTTGAGAAAGCAGAGAAAAAGCTTGCGTTACAAATGTGCCGGCAGACATGATGCACATCCGTCTCCCACCCTCCAAAGCCCATCATACATAAAACCACCCACATGAACGCTCAGACTATCCATTCTTAGTGCCTGGCAACACGCAGTGACTTCTCAGTCATAAGGAATAACCTCTACAGAGCCTTGTCTCAGGCCCCGAACAGGCGCATTTCAGGAGCAGACATCTGACCGTGCATTTAGGTTCAAAGCAAATAGGACGTGTCATACCCCTAATACACACTATGAACGCACAATATGAGCCATTTGTAATGACACACCATGGATGTACACATCTATTACACACTGATCACCCCCAACTTTTAAACCCTTTTTTTTTTTTAAAGATCTTTTTCCATTTTTGAAGTTCCACCAGACTTTTTTTTCCTTTAATAAATACCTCTTTGTTTGTACCCGGTGATAGAATTGTATTACCACCACAGTAAAGGTCGTGCTGTATACCTGATAACCATGGATTGAAGACACACCGTATGGTTTGTGTATAGGAATCTACCTCCTCGTGTAACACTTCTTTAAACCAAGTTCAACATTTACCCTTTATAACCATCACATGCATTTACCAATTCCCACAGCCCCGATATGTTAACCAGAACCCGGCAATTGTTACCACAGGCTTCAACCGTAATATAAATATATAAAAGTGTAATATAATGTACTCGACTTATCCAGTATAGAGGACTGAATGTCAATCAGAGTGCAGAGGCACCGACAGTGGGATGAAGCCTGCCTGACCCCCACACAACTCTCCGTATGAATGAACCGCAAAGAAAATGAACAGTACAAGAATTTTTGTTGATTTTTCAACTTCTTCACTTACCACCAAATTTACTGAATCCTCCCCGCTCACCACCGCTGAGAAGACAATTAGAAGAAAATTGAAGGGTTTTTGTTTTGGGATTTCCCGAGGCTACAGAAGTTCTTTATTCCGTCACACACAAGGTCTAGTACTCTGTACAACTAACACACTTGCGGCTCTTGCATGTGAATGCGCCTTTGTTCACCTTCAGCCTCTTGGGGCTTTTTTTTTTTTTGTTCTGAATGAAAGTTTGACCTCTAGTTACTAAGTTTACCACACGTATCAGTGCAAACACCTTTTTGCTGAGATTTTCACTCTGGAATGTGTACCATTGGTTTGCATAGAACTGTGAGCAACCAAGCATAGTGAATATATATGAGAGATTTGGTGCACAGAATTGTTGTAATAAATCTGTACTGCTAATCTGAGATCTAGGAATAGATTTGTGCTGATAAAGCTAAGTGTGAAAGCTGACGAGACCTTGAAAACCTGTAGCACATAAAATGCAGAATTTGTTAACACAAAAGCAGAGCAACACAGCAAACATGATTTTGGCAGTTGTATTCCTATCTCTGCTTTTCCCATACTTACCTAGTGCTGTGCATGTTCCAGTCATCAGCACCCTCTGCTCAACCCGCTGACTGGAAGTGATCACAAGGTAACAATCACACAGCACCCACCCTCATCTCCCCCAAGCACACAGACCCAGTCTCATGGCAGTACATGTCATCACACATCCCATGTCATTGCTATACATGTCATCACACATTCCCATGTCATCGCTATAAGTTATCACACAGACCCATCTCGTTGTTATATATGTTATGACAGACCTGTCTGTTCTATATATGCATCACACAGACCTGTCATTATATATTACACAGACCTGTCATTATATATATGCATCACACAGACCTGTCCCATCGTTCGATATATGCATCACACAGACCTGTCCCATCGTTCGATATATGCATCACAGACCTGTCTCATTGATCTAGATATGCATCACACAGACCTGTCATTATATATTACACATCCCTGTCTCATTGATCTAGATATGCCTCACACAGACCTCTCATTATACATATATTACACAACCCTGTCTTGTTATATAAGCATTACACCGACCCGGTCTCATTGCTATATATATGTTATTACACAGGCAGTCTCATTGCCGTATATGAGATCACACAGGCTCCGTCTCATGACTACACACGTTATCTCCGTCCTGATTAACCTCAGTATTGTAGTACCTGATCATTGTAATAAAGTCACAAAGTATCTCTACACACCGTGTCAGACTCCACTTTTAGGCTAGAGTATCTGGACACACCATGCACCATGTCAGACTCCACTAAATCCAGTTGTGGTTTCAGTTTAAACACTGTGACCCATACACCAGTATACCAGAACTTCATATTTTGGTATAGAGTAAAGCGTGAACTCGTCTACCAGTCACCGGTAACTTGTGTTTACATGTAATACACCCTTTTGTATATAGCCTAGCAATGAATAACCATTCTGAATTGTTGTTTGAAAAGAGGAGGTGAACACTTGTTAGACCTGATAGGACATTGACATTCCCCGGGTACCCTGCCTAGACAGGCTGCCAAGACCGACAACCGGCATTTATGCATTTTCGTTTTCAACCTCTACAAAAGATAAAACCTCCATCCCGTCAGGCAATGTGAAACCTTGTTCCTCTTTACAGCCGCAGGTCAGAGTTGTCAGTGCTTAGGACTCCGTTGTCAAACACCAGAAACAGGAGGTTTTAGTTCTCTGTATAATAAACCTGAACGCTCTTATCTCACGCAGTCATCGCCACGCAGCCAAGCTCCGCCCAAACACACCGCCCATGTTCAGACACCTACCCCATGCCGCCTCTTGTGCCACGGCCTCCTCTACCGCCTCGGTCAAAGCCTCCACGCCCACCGAATCCACCACGTCCTCTGCCTCTATCCTGACCACCAAAGCCGCCTGGTTCAGAGCCGCCATAGCCGCCTCCACCACCACCAGCCAGGGGAGGAGAGTCCTCGCTGTAACCACCAGCTACAAAAAAAAACGGTAACTGTCAGGTTGAGCCAAACATTGATACGAACCACAATCCACCCCAGTAAATTATGAAGTGCCGACTTACATCCACCACTGTACTGGGATTGCTGCTGGCCATAGCTTTGTGGGGCATTATAGCTGGACTGCTGCCCAAAGGAACCGGACTGTTGACCGCTGTAACCACCCTGACCGGACTGCTGACCTCCGTAGCTTGACTGGCCTCCATAGCTGCTCTGCTGACCTCCATATCCTGCACTGGGCTGTTGCCCATACCCACTGCTCCCCTGCTGCTGCTGGTAGGAGGAGGACTGAGAGCCAGCACCATAGCTGAAAGGAGAAACAGGTAAGTAATTTGTATTATTGTACCAATGGTTAGGCATGTGATGAAATCACGATACTGGCATAAAAAAACTCACCTTCCTGTGTTACTGCTGGCTGGAGGCTGCTGGGAATAGCTGGAATAAGATGACTGGGAAGATTGCTGCTGTGGTGGCTGTCCTCCACCATAGGGGGTCTGGGATGATTGGGAGCTGCCATAGTTACCAGCGCTGTATCCTTGTGCAGGCTGAGAGCTGTAGCCAGCTGTGAATCAATGAACATACCAATGAGCTAAATATTACCATGAATGCATGCGCTGATAAACATACCAACAGTAATCACAAACCATCAAACCGTTTACAAGGGTTATATATTGGGATGCACTGATACCGTTTTTTCTGTATCAAGTACCGATATTTTTTTTTGGTACTTGCAGATACCATGGGCTCGGCTAATCAGGAAACCGATGGGTCATGACCCGCCGTCCTGATTGCCTGGTGTTATATCGAAAGAACACCGGCTTCAGGCTCACTCACGACACTGCCTGGCAGTGTCCACTAGGCATCATGAAGTCAGCTTTCTGGCTAATCTGAAAGCAGGGAGGCAGGTCATGATCTGCCGCCCGGGTTCTCGATTGGCCGGGAAGCCAGCTCCATGCTTGCTTGCAGCACTGCTGGTCGGAGGGAATCTGACCGGAAGTTCTTGTATCAAGGTTAAGTATCAGAGCAAGCATCGTACTCACCCAAATACTCAGTATTGGTATGTTCTTAGTTATTTATATAGCATTCTCTCAACAAAGCATTACACTTACAGCTCTGCTCTTGTCCATAGGACGAATTGTATCCTCCACTCTGTCCATAGGAAGAAGACCCAGCAGACTGGCCGTAGCCGCTGTAGCTCTGCTGACCATAAGATTGGCTGCCCTGCTGGGAATAGCCTTGTGCAGGTTGAGAAGGGTATGACCCATACCTAAAAAAATAAAACGGACCATAAGGAAACTAGCAAAACACCACATAGTGCCATCAGCCCTCCAATGAATATGTAGAAACAAGTCTTACCCTTGGGCTGCTGGCTGTGTGTACTCTGAAAAAGAAAAACAAATGTTACTTTATGACTGCAAACAACGTGCAAAGATTGATCACAACACTGAACAATTGTTATCCTGCATTCTTCTAGTCAGATGACACCGATGATGTCGGCACATGAATGTTTTATGTTGGGCGTTATGAATTTTTTTAGCCATCATTGCTTATGCAAAATACTCATGTTGTGTGGCCGGCTTTTCATCATGACAACCAGATGTATTATGTGTTTTCCTAATGGAAAAATCCTACATGCCTCTAATGCCCTGCTCCCGGAGGACAACAGTCAACTGGGTAACAAATTAAACTGAGCAGATCCAAGGAATGTGCAGCTTCCAGATCCATAGCGTGTGACCTCAATGGACTTCTTATACGAAATTCCTCTAACATCTGTAAAAAAATAAATCAAGGCAACTGGACTCGCTGCATCCTCCTTTTCCGACCACAGGAATAATTGCTGTGGTTTTCAGCATTGCCGATTTTCATTATATTGTATAGCTGGGACTTGGTCTTGCATAGCTGGTGGTATAATGATTATACAGCAATGCAGAATAGCACTGGGGCTCTGAAGGTGAGATACCCGTGTCCCTTGGCAGTGAATCATTGCACCCCTTTGTCTCTATAGGATGCAGCAGTGATTGGGGAGGCGGGCGTGGAACCACAGCAAGTGATGGGGTCACACGGGGCACCCTTCAAATTCTTGCAGCATCTGTATGGAGGTAGGTCAATGAGTGTATTTGAGCACATCTACTTATTACAGGAACCGGCCTCATTTACCAGTCCTATAAGGTCCGGAGAGCAGATTCCTTCTAATAGTGGATTCTTGCAACTGGAAGCAAAGGTGGCAGAGCTGTGGCGTGAAGTCAGTACAAAGCAATGACAGTCACCATGTGTGTGGTTACCCGCTGCTAGGGATAGACAACCGGTCCTGAATACAGGCTGCGCCCGGGGAGGGGGGATTGGGGCTACTCATCTGTCCCTGGCCGCAGTTAACCACTGGATGTGCGGACTTATATGAAAAGCTGCCATGCTCATCATTGCTTTGTTCAGGCTTCCTGCCGCAGCCGTCTGTACACAACTGACTGCAGACACATGCCGATTCTTATTGCAGAAATCCGCCGCCTGCACCTCCTAATACAAATGATTGATTGGCTGCAGTGCAAATCTGCTCCAGTTTTGATAAACTCCCCCCAATGAGTTACAACTAATTTGATAAATATTCCACTATAAAAAAATTCTAAATGAACATTTAACCGTTTCCTGACCAATTTCCTAGCTACACCCTCCAATAGTCAACGATCACGTGATTAGAATTGTACCCAGAATAACCCCTCTCCACACCAATACAGCTGATGGAAAGGCCAATTCTGCCTAGTAACAGCAGCAGCCGATAAATAACGCTGCATCCCCACGGTAACCAGCCACGCCCTCTTCCCTGCAGCATGGCCGCGCCGCAAAATGGCCGCCGAGCCGCAGTGAGGACAAAGAAAAGCGGCAGCACGGCTTCCCATCTTCTCAACAAAGCCGATATTAAGCCCCATACCGGCATAAAACCGGAAAAAAACCCGCAATTATCAGTATTATAAACCGGAAAGACGGCTCCGTCACCGCTATGACAGGAAATGGCTCAGAGCGGATTATAGAGAAATAAACCCCGAATGTCGCTCTCATCACAAGGGAGGCCGTAGAACACAAGGCGCCCTCGCGGGATGAGCTGTGCCCGGGATACGTACCGTTGGTTGCCATTTTCTTCTGCTGATGGAATACAAAGACTACTTCTTCCTGACTCTTCGCGCCGCACTGCCAGGGGCGGGGCTATACCGATCCTTTTCAGCCCTCGGATCATACCATTCCTCCGCCCTGGGCGGGGGGGAAGCAGACAACGCCCGCCGCTCACATTGAGGGGGACATGGTATAATCTGCCGTACGATGCCATGGTGATAAAAAACAATATCATATTAAATAAACACAGAATGGAGAATATTACATAGAGAAATAGCAATGTTTTATTATGTATTCCATCAATTTTACCTCAAAAGAAACCCTAATTCCTGAGCAAAGCCCCTCACAACCCCACAGGCGGCAGCAATGGCTTATTCCTGTCTGCAGACAGCCAGGCAGCCATTTTGTCCCTATTTGTTTTGGACGTCACACGATATATGAGCAACTATTATCAGTAAAAAATACCAAAAAATTAATTTTATTGCACACAAACACAATATAGTCCAAATTTTTCACCCCACAAAATAAAAGCTGAGGTTGTGCCGAGTAAATAGATACCAGATACGTCAGGGCTGAAAACTGCGCGCTCCCGCACAATGGCGAAAAAACACGGCGCCCAAAATGATCGCCCGTTGACACTTTAAATTCTTTTACCGCTCATTGGTTTAGAGTTAACTGTAAACGAGACCCGGCATTTTTTCTACATGGCGAGCGTTGTGATAGCCAATGTGTGTTTCGCAAATGTTTACGTACACGAGCGCTACCTACGCACATGTTTGCGTTCGTATATTTGTGCGTGTGCGGGGTGACGGGGGTGCTTTTACATTTTCATGTTATTTTTATTTAGTTTATTATGTTCAAATTTTTTTTTACGTAACTTTATTGGTATCAAATGGAGGAATGGGTTGTGGAGAGTTGGTTTTGGATGAGCGGAGAGGGATCAGAACACCTCCCTTCTATTGCTGTCTGTGTCCCCGTTAGGGAGATTACCCCCCCTCCTCTATCTGTGCTGGTGACTGTTATCACTGAAAGTGAAAGAAAATCCCAAATATTAGGTTGTAATCAGAAAAGGAATATATGGGAAACTCTTCCCATGGGGACACTAGTTCTGGTGACCAGGGATTTCCCTCTCTTTGGAGGGATTTCCTCTCACTTCCTTTTGTGGCTATCGGATAGGAAGTGAAGGGAAATACAGTACCAGTGACCCTGCTAATCACCATATATTTCCTTGATAGAGCTTGATATAAAAGTTAAAGGGTTGGTGTCGCCTCACGTATTGTAGGGAAGACAAACATCTAGAACTTGATACCACGTCACCCGTGTGACCATTTGGTCTTCTCGGGCGGACGCAGTGTCACCTCTTGGATATACTGTAGTGGAGACAAACGTCTAGAAGTGGTTACCATGTCACTTGTGTGACCTACTGGTCTTCTCAGGAGGACATGGTGTCACCTCGTGGATGTATCATAGGAAAGACTAGCATCTAGAACCTGTTACCGTGTCACCCGTGTGACCATTTTGTCTTCTCAGGAGGACGCAGTGTCACCTCATAGACGTATTGTAGTGAAGACAAACATATAGAACTTGTTACCATGTCACCCGTGTGACCATTTTGTCCTCTTGTTAGGACACGGTGTCACCTCATGGACGTATTGTAGGGAAGACAAAGTGTATAGAACTTGTTCCCATGTCACCCATGTGACCATTTTTTCTTCTCAGGAGGACGCAGTGCCACCTGATGGACATATTGTAGGGAAGAGCAGCGTCTAGAACTTGTTACCATGTCACCCGTGTGACCATTTTGTCCTCTTAGTAGGACGCAGTGCCACCTGATGGACATATTGTAGGGAAGAGCAGCGTCTAGAACTTGTTACCATGTCACCCGTGTGACCATTTTGTCCTCTTAGTAGGACGCGGTGTCACCTCATGGACATATTGTAGGGAAGAGTAGCGTCTAGAACTTGTTACCATGTCACCCATGTGACCATTTTGTCCTCTTAGTAGGACACGGTGTCACCTCAAGGACATATTGTAGGGAAGAGCAGCGTCTAGAACTTGTTACCGTGTCACCCGTATGACCATTTTGTCCTCTTATTAGGACAAGGTGTCACCTCATGGACGTATTGTAGCGAAGACAAAAGTGTAGAACCTGTCACCAAAGTGAGCATTTTGTCTTCTTAGTAGGATGTGGTGTCACCTTAGGGAGTTGTAACTTCTATAAGTTAATCTCCTATGTTGGGGACACGTCTTGTTTTTCATCATCAACACATGAATGAGGGAAGCCGGGATGTGACAATGTCTCCGGAGGGAGTGACTGTCGGCCATTGTCCACCCCGGTCCTGGCCTCAGAGCAGACGCCCGATATTCATTGTTTACTTCTAAATCACATTTTCACTTCTTTGTTCCCTACAGACAGTGAAGAGAACCGTTCACCTAAAGCCGTACACTCACCACTAGAATTTCACTCCCCAAAAATCCATCTTCAGAACCTTCGTTCCATTTTTTAATACTTATTGGGGGTCAGATTGACAATCATTTTTTACTGCAGCAATGGAATAAAAAATGGCGGGAAGTTTTGCTTCACCAAACACAATTCTACCAGCAGAATGCGTTTTATTTCTGGAACCTCCGTTCAGTCCAAAATCAAATGTTAAAGGAGAACTATGGGGTTAAGACTTTTCCCCATAGTTCTCCTTAGGGTAACGGGAGGACACAAACTAGCGTCCTCTCGTCACCCTAGGCTCAGTATACCGCGAGCTGTAGCTCATTGTATACTGAGACGCCACAGCTGAACCGGATCCCGACAATTATGCCGGGATCCGCCCAGCTGCGCGAGTGACAGCTGGCTCTGCCTATCTAGAGGCAGAGCCAGCTGTCCCCGCCCCGTCCCCCGTCCGTTCCGCCAGTCGGCGCTGGTGGATCGGAGCGGGGGGAATCCAGCCCCTCCCCTGTCACGGCAGAGGGCCGTGACAGGATCGAGAAGTAAGCGAACGCCGGTATGTGTTCGCTCACCTCCCGATCTACTGAGCCGACCTGTGACAGTCTCATTGTCACATGTCGGCTAGAACTATGAGGTGAGTGGAAAGCAATCACCTCATAGTTCTCCTTTAAGACTAAATGAAATGTGGAAGAATATTGATCTCTGATGACCTCATCCGATGTTCTGATGAAGCTTTTCGTATGAAGATCTTCTAGTGTTCGTCCGGCTGAAAATATTTATAAAGGGAACCAATATGGAGTCATCACCCAAAATGGACGCACAGCTGTACCATGTATACAAAGGAGGTTTCTGGTGACCCTGCTGGCATCAGCAATTTCCTTCTTTTTGGAGGGATTTCCTTTCACTTCCTGTTGTGGCTATCTGAAAGGAACATCTAATTCTAGTGAGCCTGCTGACCACCAGCGATTTCCCTTACTTTGAAGTGATTTTCTCTCACTTCCTGTTGTGACTATTGAACAGGAAGTGATGGGAAATCTAGTTCTGGTGACCTTGCTGGCCATCAACAATTTGCTTCATTTGGAGGGATTTCCTCTCACTTCCTGTTGTGGTTATCGGAAGGGAAATCTAGTTCTGTTGACCCTGCTGACCACCAGCAACCTCCCTCTCTTTGGAGGGATTTCGTATCACTTCCTGTTGTGGCTATTGAAAGGAAAATCTAGTTCTGGTGAGCCTGCTGACCACCAGCGATTTCCCTTACTTTGAAGGGATTTTCTCTCACTTCCTGTTGTGACTATTGAACAGGAAGTGATGGGAAATCTAGTTCTGGTGACCTTGCTGGCCATCAACAATTTGCTTCATTTGGAGGGATTTCCTCTCACTTCCTGTTGTGGTTATCGGAAGGGAAATCTAGTTCTGTTGACCCTGCTGACCACCAGCAACCTCCCTCTCTTTGGAGGGATTTCCTCTCACTTCCTGTTGTGGCTATTGAAAGGGAAATCTAGTTCTGGTGACCTTGCTTCAATCCATTGCCAAATTATTGCCCCGGGCTCTAAAGCCGGCCACACACACTGGTAGGTTCATGGTACGCAGACATACCAAAAATCTCATCATTGGATAACGCCAGAGACCTGACGGATGTCCTTCCAAATTTCATCTGCCTTTAGAATGGACGCAATTTTCCGAACGAGAAACCACACGTAAGAATGTTGTTCCTTCGAGAAAATAAAGAATTCTATTTTTTTGGGGGGGTCACTGCGGCGGAAAACGATCGTCGGCTCGATCCCGATAACGAATAAAATCGAACAAACGTTCTAAAAATGAATATTTTGGAATGGAATTCTTCTGGTGTACGGCCGGCATTGGTCTCTCACAGTATACAATGTGAACAATGCAGACGGTGAACGTGACTTCCTTTTATCACATCCTGACATGTGACCTCAACTGGAAGTCACCGACGTACGGGCTCCTCTGCTGCAGTATATATATATATATACACACTGAGTGGCCGGATTTTTATATACACACTGAGTGGCCAGATTTATATACACCGAGT